TTGGAGTATGTCTTTTTTTCCCCGCTTGTCGTTTCTGGTCCTCATTTTCACCGCTTTCACCTTTATTTCTTCTGCCAGGTTGTATGCCTTCACTCTCATCTTGCTGTTGTTTTGCCCTTTTTTCTCCCCCCACACTTTGCTTGTCCTCTACACTTCGTCTGTCTCCTGAGGGCAAGTGACAGAACAACAGGCACTGCAAGATGGAAGCAGAATGCTTCATCCCTTGCTCATATGTGGGCTACCTTAATCCAATTTCCTCATGTCATTTGCACTTTCCCTTCTACTCTTTAATACCGTTGATAAAACAATGTCTTTATTGACATAGTTCAATAGCTATCTATGGTGATAGACCCTTATGACAATATGGAATGTATGTGGGACCATTTCTCTCACTGATGAGACTGCACTCAGATGCACATCTGGTCTAAGTGACACAGGCTTGATGTAATTTATTAGCGTGCAGGTCTTTTTCAGCAATACAATTTTGCAAAAAGAAGAAAGGAAGTTGCATTAGCTTTCTTGGCCTATAATGATGTTTCCAAAGCTCTTTACCACCATTGTGTACAGTCACTGTTGTAAAATACAGACAGAACACTGGTAGGGCTTCAGGTGGAGCACTTTGTCCAGGTCTGGACATTAAACTTTAGCAAAGACGTGAATGCATTAGAAAGAGTGCAGAAAAATTCACAAAAGTGGCTCCATTGATCAAGAATTTCATTTAGGTAGGCTGAGTGGAGAGGGAGAGACCATTTTCTTCAGAGAAAAGATTTGATAGAAATGCTTAAAAATAACATGCTGGTTGGACACAGCAGATGGATCAAGCTGCTTCCATCGTTACAAGGATTGTGAATAAGGGGTCACAGGTTTAATGAAATTGGCAAAAAAAGCAATGGAGACACAAGGAGAAATTTCTTGGAATGAGCTGCCTGAGAGGCATTCAGAGGGGATTGGATCACTATTTGGAAAGGAGGAAATATGCATGGGGATAGGGCCGGGGAGTAGCACAAATTGAATGCTCCTTTGGAGTGCTGGTGCAGAGACCACTGGCCAAATGGCTTCCTTCTATTATAGAACTTTCTGTAATTCTCTATGGAGGAAGGAACTGGGATATTGAGCACTAAAGCAGAGAACTAGACTAAAACTAGAATAAGAATGGCCTTTAAAATGTCTGAAGAAGATCATTGGCAAAAAAGATTCTTGCTTTTTACCTTCACCCTCAACTTTCATTGGTGTTTTAACTCAAATCCTTGTAAGACCCATGAAACATAGGAGTTAGTCTCCAGATGCCACATCAAACTCACTGAAATCTGGGACAAAAAAAATCACCAGAAACCTAAACTAGAGCCTGTGTGGGAAAATATTTTGTCAGGGCTGGTACTGGTACATTTCCATTCTCAGCTCGAATGCAGTGCAATTTGAGCCTTCAAGAGACCTTAAAAGCCTTACAGTACATTCGATCTCTGATGAAAAGTCATTGACCTGAAAAGTTTTTGTTTATTTTCTCCACTGATGCTGCCTAGTCTACTGATTTTCTGATTTCCTACAGCCCTGGTATTTTAATTTTATATACTCCAACTCATTCCTTACTACTTCCACTCAATTGATGCTGTTTCCCCTCTTTCTCCCCAAACACGGACTCTAAATCCCATGAAAGGAAAAAGCAAAGGAAAAAATAACAGACGTAAATCCACATTCACTTCCACAGATTTTCAATATATACACGAAGTCTAACATCGGACACACACAATCAAACACAATCTGTTTCAGATTAAATAGGCAGTTCCATTAATTCACGAAGGATATGATTTTGGAGTACAGTCTGCTGTATCAGATATCATCCACAACAAGGGACACTACTGTGGATGGAGTATCTTTCAAAAGGGTGCTTACAATTCCTTGGAGCCTTTTCAACAAAAACAATTTAATAAGTAGTCCGCATGCATGTGCCAGGGTAACTTTCACTCCCTTTCCTCTGAATTATGTCTGAGAGGTCCAACTGAATAGAAGTTCGCCCAAATGAGCAATTCTCAAATGAGGAAAGAGAACCAGCCAATTTCTCCTGGAGCCAAGAGAATTTCCTTTTGTTTTCAACCAGAAGTGTCTGTTGTGTTGCATCAGACACTCTGCAACTGGCTTTATATCCTCAACTATCCTTTATCCTGGCTTTAAGAGCTTAAGATTATCACTTACAAAGTGATGTCTTTGCACGTGAAAAAAATCACAAAGCGCAATGTCAAATTAAACTGAAGTATTTTTTTCAGAAATCTGGTCCTGCAGATTTATATAGATTGGCAGCAGGAGGAGGAGATGTTAAATTCCAGTATCACAGGCAATCAGTGTATGTTTCCAACGTGCGGCATTGAAGGATCACATCATTTGTTTCAACAGCTTTTTTCTTAAGACAACAAAAGCTGCATCCCTCTATATTTCTGCCAATCGAATATTGTGCATCAATTCAAAGATCTATTGTACTCAATCCAAAACTTTAGAGAACTATTTTGTTGGTTTGTTCTATAGTGCAAATACAGCACAAAATGAGAGTAGCGATCAGCATTATTATTTGCTTTTCAGTTCCAACAACTGTTACACATAATAGAATGTGTAATTGGGCGGAATCATGACCTGCTTCTGGGAAGCAAGGCAGGTGGGAGAAAATTGGATTAGTTACCAAAAAATCAGATTCCGGACAGCGAACTGACTATTTGTAATGAAGTCTCGAAACTTTAAAGCTGCCTGATGGCATTCATTTTCGTGTAATACACGCTGTTAGAATGTCATCTGGCCAGAATTAAGTTCCCCTTCCCACTTGTATTCAATGGTACTAAAAAAAGTACATTCATAGTCATGGCTACAAAGAAATAAAGTGCAGTATGTGAGATAGTCAGCCCCTGGACTTTGGAGTAAGTGACTGCTGATTTGAGTTTTTGTCTTCACCGTGCCATGTGATAGATCAGTTGGCAGTAGTCTTCATGGGGCAGGGAGGGTAATCAAGATGTGGAGGCTAGAGTGTAATGGGCACGGCTTAAAGAGGCTGGCTATGGGTGGAAGTCTGACTGGAGAAGGGACGCAGGGAACACAAATGACCAGAATGCTCAGTTACTCTGAATACTCAAGGGATGCGCTCATCTTGCAAGGAATGGATGTCGATTCAGGTGCACCTTTAAATAAAGTCGGACTATTGACCCTTGTAAGGTACCCAAGACGGTATCAATCCTGCCCACTCCCAGCACAAGATACGCCATGTTCCTTGCACTGGTCTATACAATCAGGTGGCAACAACAAAATCGCATGAATAAATCCAACTCACACCTGAGAGCAAGTGTCGCTCACTTCATGCCCACCATCAAATAAATACTCCCTCTAACGGAAGGTTCTGTCCAATGGTTCTACAGGCTAACATGGGCTGGAGTAGGTTGAGGCCAGCGGTGAATGTTATAACCTACCCAATTGATCAAAACTAATCCTACTGACGTGCTGCAAAGGCTTCTTGAAAATGAGTTTTGAACCACAGATCTGACTTTTTAAAATAAGAGCAAGAACTTGTGAAGAATTTGCTTGTTACAGAGATCAAGACATTCTGGCATACGGAACGGGTAATGCTGGAGCCAAAAACTGGAGAAAGGCCATTTCAGAGTAAACATCTGATTCTCAAAGGGTAGGGGAAATTTGGAACTCTGCCCCTAATGCAGTGCATCCAGGGTCAATTGAAATATTCAAGTTTGGGATCTGCAGCACTTCTTTTAGTTAGCTAAGGGACAATCAAGAGTATAAAGATAAAGAGTGTGTAAATGAATTCTGGGTACAGGTCAATTCTGTTCTCAGTGAACAGCAGTGAAGCAAGTATGAGAGGCTGAAGGTCCTATTTCTGTTCCTAATTTCCAGGTTGCATGGCTTACCTTTGTGAACTGCAAGTTGTGCTACAGCCCAGAGGAATCAGACTGATCTTCTGAGTTTATAAAATATTCACTTTGCACAAACAATTCTTCTGATAATGTGTCAACGTGTAAGGATGACACTGTCAGCTGCAGCATGGGCAAAATCTGTACATGTTGTAACATGTAACGGTGGACATTCTCTTTTGCTTCTGATTCAGTTGCAACCGTTTGCTGCCAGCGATCAGTTGGTTCAATGACAGAAGAATTTTTGGTACGCCCTCTCTTCGTCTCTCTCTATCCCCTTGAGCTTGCTCAATAATTTGAAACAGTGCTGCATGCACAATGTAGGTGTGTTTTCAGTCATACTAAAGTGTCAAAATTAGTTTGTTAACTGGAATGTTATGCCCAAGTGGTTAACTGAATTCCCTCTGTTGCTAGTCTCTAGGAGTCATTCATTACTCACCAAATGAGGCGCTGGGTCAAGCTGTTTTTTTACCCCCGAATGTTCTGTTTATGTTGGATCCCACAACCGGTTACTCAATACAAAATGGAAACATTAGGGGTTGAAACCAAATATTTATCAGAAGCATAACTGCTATCCTGAGGACCAGTAACAAAGCCATGAGTGTCAGTGATTGTTTGATAACTGGCTTTATTCAGTAACTTTCCAAACCTGTGATACATTGTATTTCTAAAGCTACATGTGAAGTATAATACCAGCAGTAACTTTATGCAAAATCCAACAAAGTAGTAGCTAGTTGTATATAAATACAGTTACGTTTCACCTATTTGCTCATACTGTATTTTTCTCATGTCTTTATGTATACTTGTACTTACTTTCTATAGGGCTGACAGTTGCAAAGGCCAACAGAGACACTATAACTCACATTGAGAGGCACAGCATTCATGAACTTGAGTCTGTAACTCTCGTGTTGATGCCTGCACAAAATGACTTAGCATTCAAAGCACAGATTGCACTTGCTTGATTGGCAGATTTGAATAGCTTATTTACAGTCATTTACCTCAGCCTTTTGAATCAATGTGCCGTACTGCACACTGCACAGCAGCCAATGAAGTGTACAAACTGTGCCAAAGTAAATTCAAACAAAGGCTAGCCCTCAAAATTCAGTTCCCCGCAGCACAGCAGGTGAAAATAAATAGGTCAGCAACATAAACACAACATCCTCAATGACAATTAATCAAGGACAAAGGCTGTTTTATTCAAAAGCTTTGGAGAACGAAAGGATCAGGAAAATCATTCAAGAGAACATAACGAACTGAATTGCAAATACATATATCAGGATGTAAGGAAAAAAAGCCATTTGGGAAAAATACCAATATACAAAGCATACAAAAGGACACAACAGAAAGGATAACAAACTCAGAAGTAGTACAACGGAGATGACTGAACAGTGTAGAATTGCAGGCAACCAAAACAGGCTACAATGCCAATAGCCAGGAACAAGTTTAAACAATAACATGACTATGATCTGGACAAGTTTGCACCCTCAGTTCCCAGAATACACCACAGTCTGCAATGCATTCAGCAAGGGAATTTGTGTGTTGGTTGTTGCCATCTGGTGTTAAATAAAGCTCTGCAATTGAAACTCATGTTAGTGCCACTATAAGGAATTTCTTTTCCTTCCCCATTCAGTCAGTGAGATGAAAGAAAACACCATCTCCACTCAATTAATAATACAAATTTAATTGAGTCAGTTTTTAAAAAAAAAAATCATGAAACCTAGGTTAGGGTCAAGTATCTTAGCAAAGATTAGACACCAACGAAGTGACAAGAGAAAGAAAACTGGTTAAATCAAACAGTAGTGATTTTGGTAATATCAATCATGGGTTTACGTTCCTGAAAATCCAAAAGATGTCCTAATATAAGCACCACCACAACGGTCCATCCTAAGTTCTATTCCTTTAACCACACTCAGAAGCTGCAAACACTGTTCACAAAGCCCCACTGTTACCTCACCATCAGTGATATATTCACAACGACTGAAACAACAAGATAATATGTCATTAAACCTTGCTGGAAAAGCTCAGCAGGTCTGGCAGCATCTGTGAAGAAAAAAAATTAGAGTTAACGTTTCGGGTCCAGTGACCCTTCCTCAGAACACCGCATCACTAGACCCAAAACGTTAACTCTGATTATTTTCTTCACAGTTGCTGCCAGACCTGCTGAGCTTTTGCGGCAACTTCTGCTTTTGTTCCTGATTTACAGCATCCGCAGTTCTTTCGGTTTTTATTTCATTAAATCTTGTTGACTGTAGGGTACAATAACAAAACAAAGTGCCTCAATTTTCAGACAAATAATCTAACTCCTGGAATATCGACAGTGTATTATGGCTATGAGAAATTCCAGAAATAAAAACATCAAGCTCCCTTCCATGCAATGTAGAAATTAGATTATGTTAGCCTACCACCTAGTGGCTGACGAGTAACACACACTTTATTTGAAGGAATGCTCTGGCTTCAGCAATTTTAAAGAGATAATGGGAACTTGCAATTTTCTGTGGAATATTTTCAATGCAACACTGACTAACGAAGACTTCTTGCTTGTTCTTGCCTATCCTTATTACGCTATCTATGCCACTATTAGCAATGTATTGAAATGACACCACTTATACAGAAAATTATCAATATTTTGGCGACCAATCTCATTTGAATGGTGCAGCTGATGCTGCAAATTTTGAGAGTTGAAATACAAAAGTAACAATCAATCAGTAGCTGATGCAGCACCCATTCCCGCCACCCCATCCACCACCAAGATTAGATTACTGCTTGAAAATTCTTCCGAGATGAATCAATTCTTTTTGAATTAATGTTGTGGCATTCAGTGGCATACATTTACCCTACTGTTAGTCCATCTACCTGTGCTGAGTAGGTGAAGGCGATGATAGCTACATTAAAGAATTCAGCTAGAATCCCTCCACGTTTATTCAGTAATAACCAGGAACCTTTTCATACTGCTTAAACCGAGTAAGAATTCAATTGTTTTATGATAAATATGTTTTCACATTTCACTTACAACTTCGCAACAAAAGAACTCCCAGCTGAGGAAGCAACATTGTATTCTCATGCTAATCCTCAGTTTGAAGAATGCTGTCACAGTTGCATCTGAGGAATTGAAAAGAAATCACAATTTCTGTAATGCAGTATAAGGTTTTGATGGGATTGTTGATACTGCAGCCAGTTAAAGCAGCAAAGAACAGCTATAGGAGGTCACAGCAAGTCCAAGGCTTGGCCACTGCATTTCAGTCTGGGAATCATAACAGTGCCTCACTGTAGAGAATAAGGGGTGCAGACTAAAGCTCTGTGGGGTTGTTGCTCAAAGTTGTCATTCAGCAGCTGGCTGGACACCAGGTCAGGCTCGGCTACGATGCCAAGTGTCAAATCACTTCACCCATTATCCAACGTCAAACACTGGGAGCGGTCATTTTAGGTGACCAGCTAGCCAGAAAGGTGTCAATGTCTTCAAATATGGGGTAGAGGGAGAAAGGTACGCCAGAAAGGAGGGGGAAAAATAGTTGGATTTAAGTTCTTCTGGGCATGCCAATGATTTGCATGAATACCCCAAACTAAATTACTATTGAACCGAGATTTACCTGTGATTTTTTAAGAAGTTCATTCATGGGAATTGGGCATCAGTGGTTGGGCCAAATTTCTTACTGATCCCTATTGTCCTTTGATCTGAGTGGCTTGCTTCAGCCATTTCAGAGGGCAGTTAAAAGTCTACCTCAGTGCCAGAGGTCTGGAGTCATATACGGGCTAGACCAGATATAGATGGTAGATTTCTTTCCCTAAAAGGACAATATTGAACTAGATGAGTTTTTATAACAATCAACAAAGGTTTCACGGTCACAACTAGCTAGCTTTTAAGTCCAGAACGGTACTGAATTCAAACACCATCATTTGCCCAGTCTGGATTCAAACCACTGACCCAAGAATGTTAGCCTGGGGTTCTGGATTACTCTGTCCAGTGACATTACTGCCAGTGACAGTGACTGCGCTGCTGACCAGATCGTTGTACTTATGACACATATGTGTGGATATAGTTCATTTAGAAAATGTGGGTGAGGCTCAGGAGGTAAATCAACCCAGCAATCTCAGTGCCAACACCAAATGCATTTTGCATTTGCCCCAGGCTGTGAGATCCTTTCTGCCATCTCTAGTTTCCCCCTTGGGTCATCAGAAGGCTTTTAGAATTATAACACATTTGTAGAGCTGCTTTCATTACATCACTATTCCACATGTTGCAGACAAAGTGCACATACAATCCTGAAGTGACATAAGTTTCACTTGTGGTTGAGGATGAATTCCACTGGGAGTGATTAAAAGACTGATTTACTGTTCTTTTTTTTAAAACAGGGATTTGGTGGCTTTTCTGTCAATGTTACAAAGGACAAGTAGAGATCCCCTGCACAGATTTTTCCCTACAGCCCTTCACAGAATTTAAAGTAAGGGCTTCATCCTACTACTGAAGCAGTAACTTTGGTTCAGTATCCAGAGAGTGCAGACCGCTGTTGCAGAAAGTTGGTTTCACATTTTGAACAGGTCAATCTCTGATTGAGTACATTTTCTTCTCCAAAGAATAAAACAGTAAAATTGGGTAGCTCTTGCAACTCAGCAGAGATGATCCTTAGACAGAATGGATCTCAGAATTAAGACTGCACATTGCAGCCTGATCTGAAACAAAACACCTTCCTCTTGGGGAGAACAGGTCACCGAACATATCAGGGTTTAAAAACTACCCACCATCCCCATACACCCAAAGCTATTGACAGACCTGATCACTCCTATTGCCAGAAATATCATTTTAAATATTAAAAACAATGAGCTCTCTCAAATATGGAACATCTCAGTACCATAACACAATTCAAGATCAGAACTACAGCACAGTTGGCTCTAATAGCAAGTGTAAAATCAAGACCAATATTATCATAATAAGAGTAGGTGGATAACTGGTTAAAAGTAAAACAGTAACAAGTTCACTAACAATGTGATGATTAAGTTTTATAAATAACTCGGCATTCATCTTCTAGTGCTACATTAGGTCTACGTGAATCAAGAAACACGAATGACAAGGCAAAGTATTCCTATATTATAGCCTTCTCTGAAGTCTTTCTTGTACATGACATGTTAATTTTTCAAACAAACTTCAAGCAGAAGCAGTAAAGACAAGGTTATTGGTGGTTAAGCTGGAGCAAATGCCATCTCAGGACAACAGACTGTTATGTAGGATATAGCAAGGCAGACTGAGAGCGGCAATCCAAAGGGTATTGATCCAACAGCAATTTGGTTTCCCTAATCTAATAACAAAATACAATGGCATTTCCACCTCAATAAATGACATGTTTGAGTGCACCGAACTGCTTGGTATCCATTGTATAACACACCTATTTAGCAAATAAACCATGTTTGGCATGCGATCAAAAGTACATTACTTCCATAAGGTACGTTGGTCAACATTGCTTTTGGAATGGCACAAACTTACACAATCTCTTGCAGTGAACACTATTCAGGTCTGCTAACATAATTGCCTGGACTATGAAGTACTAATTTGGAGAGAAAGCTTATTTGTTGTACAGTTGAATTCAAACTTCCTTCAAAAACTTTAAATGATCTTTAAAGTTGCAGTGTAATTTCCCTTCCCCCTGCAGTGTTCCTAAACAAAGCAATCCAAATGTGGTGGTCATGGAAATTTCCTTGGGCTGCTCGGAGTTATTGCAACATGAATTACGTTTGGACAATTTATTTTGATTTCAATTTCTGGCACAGCCATATTGAAAGACCAAACAAAAGTGAAATCCTGCAGCTATGTTCACATTGTCATTGATGCATATTAACCAGAAGAAATCTGGTTACTGATTTTGGATAGTTTCAAACTAAATTGACAGTAATGCCTCTGTGTTTGGCCCAATTCTGAAGGAAATATCAGAAACCACAGCACTATTATCAAGCTGATAACTTTATGTGTACAATTGAGATGAAGGGACAATAGGCATGTAACAAAAATCAGTGCAGAGTACACACAGTATGTTTCACATTGCAGCAGCCCAAGAGAAGAATCAGGAAAATGAATACTGCAACTTTAATCAAGTACACTTCTTTATATAGGCCCCTATGACATTAATATAAACACTTGAATTCCACCTCCAATTTGTCACTTTTGGATAAAAAAAAAGGATGATCATGGCATGTGCTTTAATAAGGTAATATTTAAAATCAGAATTCAAAGTTGTAACTTAAAATGAGTGACTCTTCAATAATGCCAAATACGTCTGCATTATATCCAGGAGAATATGTTGCATTTTAATTTTATCAGTTTCTTTGTATTTTACGTGGAACTTTCTGTGAATTAATGAAAACATGTATGCAACAAGCACTTTGATACAGGATGGTAGCCAAGATGGAGTTTGCGTCTCAACGTTTTCTCCCCCAGAACACTAATGAAATGTAATAAACACTTTCCTGAGGCGAAATGAAGTGTTTTTGCTCATCATCATCATCATCATCATCTAAAGAAAATTCCAAAGGATCACAGACATCTCACTCCATTACAGCACACATTTTGGCTACTTGCAGCCTTAGTGGGTGCCACTCCAGAACTATGGAGCAAGGAGAGGAGGCAGGGCTTCTATAAACTACCACAGACACTACGGGCTTTGAATCCCTGCCATTGAAATAATTCTGCATTGTCCTCTAGCTTTCTAGTCAAGTGGATTTGAGTACAGATGTCTGGAGTAATTGTAGAGACCCCTGGTAAGTTTGCAAACAGGAAAACTGTGTACAGATTTGGTCTTGGTCTCTACTGAAAGCAGGATTCACTTGTTGCAGAGGGTGTGCAACAAGTTCATGTCTATTGTGAACACCATCACTAAGTGGCACAGTGCCTGCAAATGCACAGGTTTACAGTGCCCCATCACTTGTGAAGCAATGAAAAGGCAGTTGCCAAGAAGCTCATCCGAATTTTCTGTGCAAAGGTTTTTTTACGGATAACTTTGTTTCTGGAATAACTTGGTCCAGGTGCTCCCTCTGCCCAGCCAGAACTCTTTGTCAGATCCATAACCAAACAGGTGACTATCTAACCTCAGCTCTCGCGGTCTGCATGCTCCAAAGCATTGTTGATCACTGCGTCTGCATACTCCCTCCAAATGAGAGCCAGGCAGCAGAGAGCTACATTGTCAAGATGGCTGAAGGTCCATCTCACTCGGTCTCCCCAGTGCCTCTTCCCAACATCCCTTTGTGCGGTCGTCATGGTGAATGCCATCTGCCCATGTGCAGACACTGACATCACTGAGCACGGAATGCACTGTGATCTGTGATGCATGCACAGATGCTCCTTACGGCCATCATAGCCTGCTTATGTATATGCAAGCAGCCATATTGGCATTGGGAGTAATCATATTCCACTGCAACATTCACCAGACTGGTTTCCAGGACTGTGGGATTGTCCGATGAGTAGAGACTGAGGGGACTGGGTCTGTTTTTCTCTAGAATTTAGAGAATGCGAGTGATCTCATTGAAGTATACAATAATTCATAACAGTGTTCAACAGTATAGATGCAGGAAGGATGTTTCCACTGCTTGAGAGGTCTGGCACTGGGGACCCAGTCTCAGAACAAAAGGAAGACGACTTCAGAGTGAGATGAGTAGGAGTTTCTTCGCTCATAATACCAGAGTGCTGTGGGAGCTCAATCTTTGAGTATGTTCTCAACTGAAGAAGATAAATTTCTAGATTTAAAGATGTCAAAGGATATGGGGATATGGTGGGAAAGACATCGAACATCAGCCATGTTCCAGTTGCATGGCAGAGCAGACTCAATGGGCTGAATGGCCTACTCCTGCTCCTATTTCCTGACACAAGTCACGCATGGTGCGAGAGCATTTTAAAAAGCAAAGTGAAAAGGTGAAAATAGTTTTTAAAAAGGTTAAAAAAAGACTTCCAAAAATTGTATACATGCCAATTTTCCATGACTGTAACTTAGGTACTAAAATATCAGATTGACCTTATTTAAAAATAACCCACGTAACAATAATTTCTATATTTTCTGACACTCAAATTTTCCTGAGATGCAGCAAAATAGATTAGACTCAGTTTGTATGAATTTGGCTATAAGTGCTTCAGGTTTTGAGACCCAGAGGGCTCAGTTTTGAAGCGTTTTGCAAACTAAGCTAATGTGAGATGAGAAAAAAAGCTTTTTCACTCAGCAAATAGGTTAGGTCTGGAATGCACTGCCTGGAAGTCTGATGGAAGCAGGTTCAATTGAGGCATTCAGAGGACATTTGATGATTATTTAAATGCAAGCAATGTACAGAGTTATGGGCAAAATGCAGCAGAAAGTTAAAATGCAGAGAACCAGTGCAGACACAATACAGCAAATGGCGTCTTCTTGTACCATAACAATTCTGTAATTTGTATCTGCATTTTACTAAGCTGCAGCCCAAATTCTTTCATAGGAAATCTTCAGTTTTCAATATGCCAGCAAATTTAGGGCAATTAAGAAACAACTGTAGCAGAAATTTGCTTTGGTCTGTGCTGCAGAATGGGTGACGTCGCATCAGCCTTCTGGTATACTCTCCACTGGATGATTAATTCCATTGATTACAATGGAACCAAACTTTGAGTTGGGTGTCTAACAGGAGATCAAGGCACTAATGTGCATTACTATCAAGACAAATCTCTGCCCTAATGGTGTTTAAAGCCAAGTCAGAAATTCAAACCAATTTTCCTTTATAACTCATCATTTCTAGGCACATCTTTATTTCTGGTGCTTGTGCTAATTTCATGCCACTACCTGCGTTTTTACAGCCTCAGAAATATCATTTTTTCAGCACCGTCTGTTGGGTTTAGACTTAGCCTGTACATCCAAAGGTTATACAAAAGCAAACAAACAAGAGATGGATTAGAAAAACAGCAAACCACTGAAAGAGGTGGAATCACTTTCAGGCAAGGTGATGATTGGTATTCTAGGTTGTCTTGAAACGATGGGAACTATGACAGAATTTAGATTGGTAACTGACCAGTGATGGTTCATCTGTTACATGAGGAGTTAGCTCTGCACTCTTCTGGCCTTCCATCTTCCATTCCTCTTCCTGTGTCCTAAAGGAGAGCAAAATAAATTATCAAGTGACATGGCTGTAGTATGTCTATTCCTAATGTCTCTCCGTGGCCAAGGAAACAGGACATTCTTAGCTTGAATTAGTTTTGGTTAATTGCAGAACATTTGCATGCAATCATCCAAATGATATATTATACCAGAGACCTGCCTCTTCTCTTAACTAGCAGAATTATCTTTTTCAGAGAAGTTCAAAATGAATCACAATTGAGTGATGATGGAGGTCTGAAGTTACAGCAAATTACATTCATACTTCTTACTTTACGTTTCAGAAAGAAATTATAATTAAGGAAAGAATGCACTTGTCAAATACCATATTGTTTAATGATCTTTGACTGTTGACAGATATTACTCAATTGCTCAATACAGATGGGAGCATGAAGGAGAAACAAGTGAGTTCCTACAATTTGAGACATTCTCACCAATTAAGTATAAAATACATAATGTGAAGCTAACCAGCTATTCTGATTTTGCATGGTTGACATAAATCTTTCTTGCAATATTGTTTTAGTGGGCTAATTGACTGCCAAAATGGGCACTGACTAAACGCCTGGACTTTAATTTTTAAAAGACATCAGGACCTATTCATTTCACAGAAGGATAACTGTATTGTTAATAGCAATCACAAAGTCATGTGCTCTTCCAAAATTAGTAGTGTTTTATTGTCCCACACTTTCAGCCACAAAGGAAGATCTTTCAGATGACCCACGACTGTTTTTGAGACAGCTATAAACATGGCAACACCAGCAAAAATCAACTTCTCAAAGAAATGATGAGACAAACAGGCCTGGGCAAGAAAGACAGTAGGAACTGCAGATGCTGGAGAATCTGAGATAACAAGGTGTAGAGCTGGATGAACACAGCAGGCCAAGCAGCGTCATAGGAGCAGGAAAGCTGACGTTTCGGGCCTAGACCCT